ACACAGAAGGAGTACCGAGTGGAGCGCTGTCGGGGAAGCCAGTCAAAAAAAGAGACAAAAAATGCAACACTTTGTTTAATCGATTACTCCTATTCCTGGTTATCTCTTTGGTATGCCTCCTGCTTCTGGCCTCGTGGGATGGGCTTTGGACCACGCCATAGAACATCTCATTCTCGCTAAAATTCACGCAACAAACTCTCCTATTATGGTTTCTACTACCAAATGGGAAGACTCATGCCTTTATAAATGAATTCTTTGTCTGCACTAGGAGCAGTGCTATTTTGCTACCTCACCTTGTACAATGGAGAGTTCAGCACATTAGTGGCAAAACCACCACAATAGCAAGTTTAACCAAAATTTGGGACACCAGAGCCTAAAACGATACACAAACCACTAAGGTATAGCAGCAAGTTAACACAGAATTGCTCCATTGTTTAGTGTGCCTTTTATCAGAAGCCATTTAAAGGATCTAGTGAATTGTATCGTGTGACTGTTCGAAGTACGTGACCAGCTTGTTTGACGTAACACAAACGTTGAATCGCCCAGTTGGAAAGCAGTACCAAATAGTAGGTTCCGTTGAACACAATGCTATATTTCTAAAAATAACCCCACGTGACGCCATATAAATTGCTTTAACTACACGAGAAGTTGCCGCACAACCACCTTCTTACTTGATTAATGATTACAATGAGCCGCTTTCCCTCGCCTCATCAGCCAACTGTGGAATATTTTAGGTTTTTGCAGTGGATTAGGAGATCGATCGTCTGAAAAATGTTATTAATAGCTACAAAAAGTTTTACTAGTTTGAAAATTGTTGCCAATAAACCAGACTGCTTAATGTTGTGCTGATGCCCTCGGGCTACCTAGCAAACAAGGAAAACCTACGACGTTACTGTTACTGTTGTGGTTGGGATCAGTGGCGTTGAACCACGAGGTAATACTCATATCCTACCAACGGCTATGCAATTTCGATACGATAATTCGACTTATTACAAACCTGTGAAGAATTTGGGATGATGCTTTGAAAACTCAGTGAATATGACACTACAGCCATTAATAGACGCTTTTCGAATTTTTGCAATACTGTGCAGTCTTCCGACTTCCCTGCTTATTTGACTCCCTTGAATTATGCTACTGTTTTGTAATAAGTAAAAATCTGTTTAAATCTCATCAATGGCCAAAAACCGCACCAAATTGACAA